TGTGTGTGTGTGTGTGTGTGTGTGTGTGTGTGTGTGTGTGTGTGTGTGTGTGTGTGTGTGTGTGTGTGTGTGTGTGTGTGTGTACCCTGGCAGGCCAGTGGGGGAATCCCTTCATCTTGGCGAACACCAGGTCTCCCTGTTTGAACTGGTCACCGTTTTTCCCCGGCATCGTGATAACTCTCACCTTATTGACAGAGAAAAAGCCTGATAGAAAACAGAAATATATTGAGATTACNGGTCTTTCGCGCCACCCCTGGCATGCCTCTGCGCCCCCCAGGGGGGGCGCGCCCCCGACTTTGACAACCACTGCCTTAATGACAGAGAATCAGCTGAAAGAAAACAGAAATATATTGAGATGACTTAATAACCATCATGTAATCAAGAGGCGTCTGAAAGACACATTTACTCATTGATTATATATATGTATATATACCAGTTTTAGTTTCACATGATGTGTAACTCTTCTCTTATCTTATTAAAAGTACATATTTATATCTGATATGTAATTAAGAAGTAATATAAAGTGACATAAAAGGAAAATACAACTACCTGCAATCTGTATTTGAGTAAATGTACTTTATTTACTTTCCAACCATGAACAACAGTTTGTTTATTGTTTAAACAACTCGTTTATTTCCATTTTAAGCATTTAAAACCTATTTTAGAAAGCGTGAAGTGTAAACTGTGACATAAACTGAGCAGTTTCTATCTATATTCTGCATTAATTTAGTAGCATTTATACATATATCACTGTTAATGCAAATCTGAGATATAATCCAGACAAACAAAGAGTATTAAAAGATCAATAAGTATCTCTGATATGTAGCTAAGGAGTATAATTTATAAAGTGACCTTAAAATGTAGTTTCCAACCATAGAAAACGGTTCATTGTAAGGCTTTAACTGTTGCTAGATGTTATCTGAAAGGTATAAACCACATTCAAAGAGAGTAAAGGTCGTTTCCTTCCACCAGAAACATTTTTTAACCGGTTTTTAATTCTTTTTTGTTTCATTTCCAGCTCGTCCTGTCTTTGTTTACAAATACAGACCGTTAGCTCTGAAGCTAACTTTAGCATGTGGCTCAACCCTGAGCTGTAGCTGGACCCTAACTCTCTGTGGTTCATATCTATCTCAATGCAAGTTTACCGGGACATTGGAAGGTTTACAAACCGTAACGAACCCAGGGATTATGGTGTGAATCCGGAGATAAAGTCTCTGTTTTCTTTCGTTTCTAAGCTACGATCCTTGTTCTTCTTCTGTCGCCATGTTGACCGTGTACATCGTGTCACGTGACAAACAGCACTTTCCCGCTGGCGGCTGTACCATTGTGTGGGGAGACTGGACTGTACCAACTCGGGGTAAATCTGGCAGAAAATGTCAAATAAAACGAATTTCGGAGTAAAAATAATAATATATACACTTATTATCCTTCAAGGAAACGTGTTAAGATATTTTTAACTACCTTTAATGTAGATTTTATGCTAAATTATTCTTTACAGCCTTTAAGAAGCAGATTATTTAACTTTCTACTACACTGAATTTATTTGAAAGATTTAATATTCAAATTATACACACAATATATATAATATTAAAGCTATGTCCACATACATTTATCGATTTCTCAGTAATTATAATATATTACAGTATTTAGGATTCAGGGATGGGCTATTCTATTGAACGAGTACTTTTACTTTTAGTACTGTAAATATATTTTGGTGCTTTCACTGTTTAATGCACAACTTTTATTAACTGATATATTTCTTGTTACGTACTGGAACCGACAAGTTAAAAGAAATACAGAATTAAACTATTTATAGGTGTGTTTCTTTATAGACTATAAAATGGGCAGAATTGACAAACACATGCGAGGTAGTCTCATTTTAAGAACTACGATGTATTAAATAAATATACAAAGCTGTAAATATTTACACGTTTATTACAAAAACATTTTCCTCAAACCCAGCAGAGAGGCTTAAAATGCCTATGAACATAGAGCTGGTTATTATTGTGTTTTTTTAATACAATAGCTGCTTTTTGATACTGATACCAAAAAACGATCTGATCAGAGAATATGTAAATAAATTACAAGTCTGACAGGGAATTTATAAAAGCTTTTTACAGTCCAACACTTCATATTTTAGTGTGTGATCATGTGTTCTTATATCAGTTCATCAACAGTCAGTTTGTCCAGTTTTTTTAATCACTTCCACTATCGCTGTCTTCCTCTTCTTCCTCCTCTCCTTCCTCCTCTCCTTCCTCCTTCTTCTCAGGTTCCTCCATGAGTCCGGCGAAGAAGTCGTTTTCTCCGTGAGCTTTCTTGGTGAGCGACTTCATGCGTCCGTCTTTCTTCTTCCTCTTGCGGTACTCGGTGACCTTGGTGTTTTTTAAATCCGAAATGTCCCAGAACTTGATCAGCTGATCGTGGGCGCTGCTAACCAGGAAACGGGAGTCCCAGGATTTGTTGATTTCCTCGACAGGTTCTCCAACATGTTGCCCGATGCACCCGATGACCCGGTTGGGAAAGAGGTTCACAGCTCTGATGGAGGAAGGAGAGACATTTATATATAAGCATCCAATAAGGGTGAGGAATCAGGCTTATTGGTACACGATTGGTGGCCAACCAAGACAAAAGATATTATGGATTACCTCAGAAGTAAAGGGTTGTTGGACTATTTAACCAATAAGAAACCAATTCAGGCCACAAAGACATCATAGTAGACCATTTAAAAAATAGTTTTGACCAGTTAAAGCCCATTTCGGTCCAGGTTAGAGCATCGAGGAACCAGTCTATGATCCCAGTCATTAAGTTGTACCATTAGAAAAAAATATTTTGGACTACTTGAAAATGCGCCATCATGACATCAGCTCAGACAATTAAAAGCTGATTTTTTAATCATTTGTAGAGCGCTAAGAAACCAGTGATCCCAATGGGAACCGGACTCACCGGATGTACCCGTCCATCATTTTAGAGCGTTAAGAAACCAGTGTGTGGAACCAAGATCATGTCTGACTATTACAACACCTGGTTGGACCATTAAAAGACCAGATTTTACCATAAGAAGCCAATTTTGACCATTTTAGGTCATCAAAACATTAGATTAAAGCAGCGTTGTTAGTTATAAGACTAGCTTGGTCCATCAAAAGAACATTTTAGGTCATTATAAGATCACAAAAACACCAATTGGACTACTGAAAGACCAGCGTGGTTCAACTAAAACCAATAAAACCAACGTAACAGCAATCTAGGACCAAAATCAAACAGTAATCCCAATGGGGAAAATTGAAAGACATTATGGATTATCTCAAACTGTTGGATCTTGTTACCAATGAGAAGCCAATTCGGCCACAATAACATCATATTGGACCATTTAAAAAGCAGATTTGACCATTTAAAGCTCATTTTGGCCCAGATAAGAGCATCTAGAAGCCAGATTACAATCCCAAAGTCATCAATGTAACTGTAATCTGGGACTAAAAACCACCAGTAATCCCAATGGGAACCTGCCTCACCTAATGTACCCGTCCATGGAGGCGGTGCACATGATGTTGTCGGTGATCGGCACGATGCACTCCACGGACTCAGCTTTGATGGTGAATCGGTCGCTCGTTGCTCCGAATCCGTTCCAGTTGAAGATGTAGATGGTTCCTTCGCTGGAGCCGCAGATCACCTTCTTCCCCCGCTTCATCAACGCCACCGAGGTCAGATCTCCGGTCTGATTCTCCGACAGAAGCTCGAAACGCCGCCGTTTTATGTTGAAGACGCCCATCGTGCCGTCGCCACTGTGAGGGGCAAAGAAGGTACAATTAGAGGGGTTAAAGAGGGCCGGTGGAAACATTTCTGAAAATGTAATTTGACGAAAAAACTTGAGCAAAATGTACGAAAAGTTGGAAGAAAAAATGTTCCTGAAAAATTTACAAATATGTATAGAAATGTTTTAAATATCTATTAAATAAAAAATTTCAGAAAATTGTGAAAAAAAATCCTAAAAGTTAAAGAAAATAATCTGAAATTGAAAAAATGATCCAGTATCCCCAATGTCCAAAAATATCTTGTTTTTTAACCAACTGCTTTTTTACCAACGGCAGCAACTAAAAACAATTGTCAGAATATTTCAGATAAGTTTGTAAAAAAAATCCCTAAAAAAAATTGTCCGAAATGTTTGTGAAAAATGTCAAAAGAAAATTAAATATTTAAATAATACAAAATGATTATGAAAGTTTAAGAACCTGGTAGTGAGGAGGATCCTCTTGGCCGCGTCCACTGCGATGCCACTGATGTAATCCTCATGCTGTTTCAGATCCATGATGGCCGTCCCCTTCCTCATATCCCACACCTTCAGGAAGAACAACGGGACAAATTCAAGTCAGATTTAGGCTTTTCCTCATATTTGGAAGCGATGTCGTTTTGGACACGTGAATTCCTCAATAAAAAAATAAAAAAAAGTAATATATTTAAATTAAACAAAAATAAATTAAATAAGATGAAAAAATAAATAAACAAAATGTATTAAATAATGAAACCTTCAGAGTCCCCCCATCGTCCCCAGTAGCCAGGATGTTCTCGTCCACCAGCAGCAGGCTGTTGATTGGGGCTCCGTGAGCTCCTCTGATCCGAGTCACCAGCTGCCCTCGCTCCACGTCCAGTAGGTGGACCGCTTTATCTCTGGAGACGCTGTAGAGCTGCAACCCGTCAGCAGAGAAACGCACCTGCAGAGAGACAGGTAGACATTCGTTTAATATAATATTTATCTCTGGAGACGCTGTAGAGCTGCAGCCCGTCAGCAGAGAAACGCACCTGCAGAGATACAGGTAAGGAGGTTTGTTTTAGAGTTTTACACACAACCTCACCTGTGTGCAGGACTTCAGAAGTTCAGGTGTTCTTTAGTAAACAACAACAGAACCTCAGGTGTTCTTTAGTAAACAGACCCTCACCTGTCTGCAGGACTTCAGGTGTTCTTTAGTAAACAGACCCTCACCTGTCTGCAGGACTTCAGGTGTTCTTTAGTAAACAGACCCTCACCTGTCTGCAGGACTGCATGTGTTCTTTAGTAAACAGACCCTCACCTGTCTGCAGGACTGCAGGTGTTCTTTAGTATCTTTAACAACAACAGACCCTCACCTGTCTGCAGGACTTCAGGTGGTGTCCAGAGGACCACAGTTCCCGGGTCTCTCCCTCAGTACAGGAGTATGCATATGCGTACAGATCTCCGTCCACGTCCCCGCACACCAGCAGGTCTCGGGTCGGGTGCAGAGCCACCGTGTTGGCGATGGCCTCCAGCTTGATGTCCGCTGGAGTGTCCCTAATGATTGGCTCCTGAGGCCCCTCTTCATCATCTTCATCATCATCCTCCTCTTTCTCTTTCTCCTCTTCCTCCTCTTTCTGTTCCCTGTCTGAGGTTTCTGGGTCTGAGGTCTCTGGAGCTTCTGGTTCTGGATCCATTTCTGGAGGATCTGAGGTTTCAACGTGTTCCGCGGGCGCTGCCATGTTGTTTTTTTCGTTTCTTCTACGGTGGAAACACGTGGAGAGTTAACACAGGAAATGCACCACACTGCCCTCTAATGTTCTTCAATGGAAACATGCTATTATTTTTGAAACATGAAAAATAAAACACATTTGATAATAATAAGAACAATAATAATGTGTGTTCTGTTTTATTCTCAACTTTTATGTATTTATTCATACATTCATTTATTTTTTCCCATATTTATTTATGCATTTATTTATTATTTTATTTATGTATAAATATATATTTTTTCACATTTATTTATTCGTGTATTTATTTAATTATGTGTTTATTCATTTATTTATTTATGGACAGCGGGGCTTCGTTTCACATCGATGACGTAGGTAACATCACTAGTTATCAGCCAATCAGGAGTCGACGCGGAGATGACGTTGGGACGCTCAAAATGGCGTCAGATTCAAACGGCTCCTGGATAATATTTGCTGTAAGTTTTTAATAAAAGCTTTCTATAACGTTAATTATTAATATTGTAGTGTATGTAAGTAGTTTACATTGCCTTGTGTTGGTTATAGTAGATTAAAAGCATCGAAAAATGTTTTTATTGGAGATAAACCGTATTTGTTTGGGTTGTTTATCAAGTGGCGACAAAATCCCATTCACTAAATGTGTGATTTTCATATTAACTTGTTTATTGACAACTATGAAGAGAAATTACTCAAATAAATAACATAAATACATTATTTATGACCTTCTTTTAAATTCGGCGTATATTTGATTCACCTAACATTAGTTTATATGAGTTTAATCTCAGTTGTAAATTGTAAACATTAAGATTTATGTTACTATTAACGTTGAAACTCTGCAGGAAACAGACATATTTAGTATTTTAAATAGGGCCGAATTGTAAAGTATACCTTAGTTTTAGGTAAATCTTGTTTTTTATTGTTTTAGATGTATTTTTAATGTACTTTATATTATTGATGTGTTTAATTGATCGATTTGTAAACGGAGTTCGCTTTGTGGTTGAGTGCATCTGCTGGCATGGCAACGCAAGCAGCCAGGCAACCGGCTTCATCCCCCGGCAGCAAAACAATCAAAACAACCTCCATTGTGCCTAAAGATGATTTAATACTATCTTAGAAAATATATTGCATTAATGTGCATTTTAAAAAACATCCCTCAGGGGTTTTAAAGTCGCCCTGACTGCAGGGAGATGCAGGTAGAATCAGCGGAGCGGAGGAGAGAGAGTGGCCGGAGAAAGGGTGCGGAGAGCGGGCTGAGCCGAGTGGAGCCGCGGGGGGAGAGAACCGCGGAGAGAGAGAGGTAAACACCCACTTTATGGACTTTTTTACACACATTTTTCATTTTTAAACAAGATTGTTGGATATTTTCCCCACATATGTCACTAATAATATAGTTTGTACACCACTGTGTTCTTATTATCATTATTCCCTTTGTCTGACATTTTCCAGTTTTTTTTCCACTGTGTTTTTCCACATTTCAGACCACTTTAAGGATTTGAAAAAAAAATGTATTAACATATTTTTCTGGCATTTTAACATATTTGTATTATGTATTTTCTGATATTTGTACTTATATATTTTGCCCATATTCTTCGTAATTTTTGGACGCACTTTCCCATTTTTAAAAAAAATTCTGTTTACATATTATAAGCTCCGAGGAGAGAGCAATGTACACAGTTACTTTTTTGACTTTTTTACAAATATTTCAGACATCTTTAAGATCTTTTTGGGGATATTTTTAAACAAGATCTTCGGATATTGTTCCCACATATTTCACTCATCTATTTTTCACGTTACTGTGTTTGATACAATCGTTTGAGATAGTATTCCCATTTATTTTATTTTCACGCTTTTAAGATGTTTCTTTACAAATGTTTTAGACTTCTTTAGATATGTTTTGGAAGATTTTCTTTACAGTTTTTTCTGATATTTTGCAAAAAATTCTCAGTATTTTTTCACACACTTTTCTGACATTCCTATCTAAATATTGTAAGATTGAATTTTAAAAACTTTACCTTTTGTTCCCACATATTCCTGACATATTTTCAGATTCTCATTGCACGTACAACTCTGGAAACAATGGATTGCATTATAATTCAAAAGATACTGGAATATAAAGCCTGCCATGCATGTAGAGATGTATATAGATGCATTTTTTCGGAGCTGTTCATCACTAATAATATATTTTTGGATACATATTTTATTCAGCTTTTGGAGTGGGACATATTTAATCCTTCATTTTATCTCAAAATCATCTGGGGAAATAAACTATTCATACACAAAACAAATCACATATAAAGATGAATCTGTTTACTTTTATTTTGCAGTTTGAAAGAGATCATCACCACAATGCAACGGAAAGAGAAGAAGGCAGGAGAGAGAGGAAGGAGAGAGGGGAAGGAAGGTGAGGAAGAGGAAGGGAGGAGGAAGAGGAAGGAGGTGAGGAGCAGGAAGACGGCGTCAGAAGGAGAAGAAGGAGGAGATTGGGAGGAGAAGAGGAGGAGGAGAGTCCATCAGCTGGAGAAGGAGAAGCTGGAGCTGACCAGCAAACACAACCAGGAGGTGAGGAACTGGAATGTTCTTCTTTCTATATTTGATGGCAGGTTTTCACATAGATCCAGATTACATATTATTTAGGATATTAGCTGATGTTTTAATTACACTTTGCAGATTTCTATCTACTTATAATTCTTGGATATTTAGACATTTAGAAGTCGATGTATTTTGGACACCCTAGATTTATTTTAGGGCACATTTTTCTATATTTTACAAATACTCTTTTTAAGATTTTTGCCAACTTTTTGATATTTTTCTCATATTTTACTCTTATTTAAATAATACGTTTGGACATTTTATACACACTTTGCAGACATCTGTTGTGTATAGTTTTGGAACATTTCTCTGATATATTTCCCACAAGTTTAAACATTTTCTGATTATTTTCCAATGTATTTTGGACAGACTATATATTTTTGTTGGGATATTTTTCTCATATTTTAAATAATCGGTTTGGACATTTTGAATAATTATGTTCCCACATATATCAGATTGTTTTTGTATTTTTATTTAATATTTTTCACTGTTTTTTCAGAAAGTATTTTTTGGACATTTTCGATACACATTGCAGACATCTTTTTTATTTATTTTTTACATTTCCCCGTCATTTTCTGATATATTTCCCACATGTTTAAAAATATTTCTGATTATTTTCCAATTTAATTTTGGACAACCTATCTATTGTTTTTTTGGATATCTTTCTCATATATTACTGAAATTTGAAATAATTTTTTTGGGTCTTTAAAGAAATTATAGTTTTCACACATTTATCAGATTGTTTTTTAAAATTGTATTTGATATTTTTTCAGTTTTTTCACAAATGTAATAACAGTTTTTTGGACATTTTCCACATTATTTCCACACACATTTCAGACATCTTTATATCTTTGGAACATTTCCCCAAATGTTTGTGAACTTTTACCCACATTTGAAACATATCCTACTAACATGTTTGGTATACTTTCCTCCCCTCAGGTGTGTGGGCTGCAGGCAGAGCTGACCCGTCTCAGGTGCTCTGTGGAGGGGGGGGAGGCTCAGAGAGAAGAGCTGCAGTACCAGATCACTGTGAGCCAGAGGGAATCAACCCGGGACAAACACACGCTCACAGGTACACACACACACACACACTACACACACACACACACACACACACACACACACACACACACACACACACACATGTTTTTCAGATTGCTTTATGCTCAAGTGTGTGTGTGTGTGTGTGTGTGTGTGTGTGTGTGTGTGTGTGTGTGTGTGTGTGTGTGTGTGTGTGTGTGTGTGTCAGAGCTCCAGGTGACGGTGGCAGAGTTGCAGAAATCTCTCGACATCACGCGGCGCTGCAGGGAAGAGGACCAGCATGCATTGCAGCAGGAAGTGGAGGAGCGAGACAAACTGATCCACACCTTGAGCTCGGAGAACCAACGACTGCACCAACTGCTACAGGTACACACACACACACACACACACACACACACACACACACACACACACACACACACACACACACACACACACACACACTAGACGTTATGCACACGCAAAAAAACTGAAAAATACTTTGTTTATGTTTACAATTAAATGTTAAAAAGTATATTTTTTTCGGACCAGAATTAACTGCAAAGCACCTGCTGATTTATTATTAGCATAGCAACAGTTATGAGCATTCATTTGTGTTTCTTTTGTTGGTCCAGGATCAGGAGGAGGCGCTGGAGGAGGCGCAGAGAGAGAGAGAGAAAGAGGAGGAGGAGAGGAGACGAGAACACAGCAAACTGAAATACCTGGAGGAGAAGGAGGAGAGGAGCAGGAGGGAGAAGGAGGTGAGGAAGAGGAGGAGGGAGAGGGAGAGGAGCAGGAGGGAGAAGGAGGTGAGGAAGGGGAGGAGGGAGAGGAGGAGAGGAGCAGGAGGGAGAAGGAGGTGAGGAGGAGGGAGAAGGAGGTGAGGAAGAGGAGGACAAGGAGGTGAGGAGGAGGAGGGAGAAGGAGGTGAGGAAGAGGAGGAGGAGAAGGAGGTGAGGAGTTGTATTAATGTCTCTTCTCTCCTCAGGTGTTGGATCAGAGAGTAAAGACTCTGGAGGCGAACATGGAGGCG